ACAGTAAAAATCATATATCCTGTTAGATAAGGAAATGAAAATAGGTCATGCCTTTTGCATTTCTTCTTTCACATAATGGGGGCAAAATATCAAAACAAAACAACAGCATACAGAAGTATGAAATGGTTTGGCCTCCCAAAGATGGAAATTACAGGGGAGAGAAGTTGCTCTCCGTCTTACTGGCTTGCAGGAGAGTTTCTGTTTTTAAACTCTGGCAGCAGATACAGAGAATAAAAGACTCATTAAAAGCCAAACCGTTTTCTTTTTCTCTCTTTTGAACCACATTTTGGTCGATTAGTTTTCAAAGCAGACACAACAAACCGGAGTTCATTCACTGGATCAGCAGCAGGAGACGTTTGTTCAAAACAATGACATCAGGTGTTTAATTCAGGGCTGAAACGTGGGTAAGTGAGCTATCCATAACATGAATAAAAATCCACATTAACCTCTTTCAGTTTCAGACCATGTTAAAGGGAAAGTGCAACGCTGATCGCTTCCTTTACAGTGAACAACATTCATTTACTAACTCACATGACACACTGTCACTGGCTCCAATGTTACAATGAGATCAAAGTTTATGTGGGGCAGAAAAAAAAAAGGAGCTCTAGAAAAGTATGCATGAGGTTGACGTGCAGGAGAGTGGGCTACACTGTGTTGTTGTGCCAGTATTTGGTCCTGCTGCAGAGCTCTGGTGAAGTCTGCAGCCTGCCAGCCTCTGTGTGCAGCCCCCTCCCTGCAGGGTATAGTGGGCCGTCCCGTGAATGAGGCCTTTGTGCCCAGAGCCAACCCCCGAACAGACTCACTGTGCACCCCCCCCCCTTACCAACACCACCACCACCAACCCCTCGCTGCCCAGGCCGCTGCAAACGCTGGACCAAAGCACAGCTCTGAACCTTTAACCCCTCAGCTTCAGGCAGCAGATACAGAAGGGGAGTTTAGCCTGCGGCAAGCTGAAAATGACGGGTTAGGGCATAAAGAGCATGAAGGTTAGTAATCCTATAGCAAATGTTTGCTCTCAAGAAGAGGCGGACTGAGACCATAAAAGGAGAGTGTGCAATATCAAAAGACATTTAGTGCTTTCACAAATGTACAGATACTCAAAAAAGTACAGAACTCCTTCATAACTGGTTATTCCTCGTTAGATCTTTTTGCACAAATCTAGCAGAACGGTGTCACAGAAAGCTCTGACCATGCGTAAATGACCGCTGTTAAAACTGTTCAGGAGTGCAGCAGGAGGCCTCAGCAACACGGACCCTGGTTATAAATCTCATTGCAGTTAGCAGAGTTTGGATGCTGAGTCAGCAACAGACGAGGGAGAATAGAAACCACCAGCAAACTGATGCTATAGCTGAGGGACACCAACTCCACATTTTCCAAACCATTTACTACCGTCAGCTTCCACGTTCGACCGCAGCAGGAAGTTAATCTAAGTGTCACAAAGTTTGTCGATGTAAACCTCATGTCACGTCCAGAGAAATGCTTTTAAAAAACTTTAAGACAAGCTGGAAGTTCTTCTTGATCAAAGAGCACGCTCAGTTAAAGCAGACTTTTAGAGTCTAGTCATGAATTAAATTAAGTCTTTCTACAAGAGGAAATTAGTTCTAAAGCTCCTCTGACACATTTCAGTCTGATAAAGAACCAAAGTGTGAAAAAATCACAAAACACATTGTCTGTTTCTCATTCAAACTGATGCTGACTTAGATTCTGATTCTAAAGAATCTGATGATGTGTAAAAAAAAAAAAAAAAAAAGACACTTCTCTTCAGAGGTCTCAACCGCCTCGAGAGGAACATGCAACAAGAGGGTGAGAAAGAGGAAGATGAAGTGGATTGAAATGTCTTACCTGAAATGGAGTAGCTGCTCATAGAGTTCTGGAAGTCACTGTTAGGTAATCCATCCCGGAGCCAGCGGATTTGAACGGGGTCCGGGGGTCCGACCGCCTCACAGGAGAGTGTGAAAGGTGTGTTTCTGCTCACGTTCCTGTCCTCTGGTTGATGGAGAAATGTTGGGAGACCTGCAAAAAAAAAAAGAAACAATGGCGGATGAGGGAGACTAAAACTAAATATATGATGCAGAACACATCGCAGTTATCATGATGAAAGAAGACAGCGACCTCCAGAGCTGACGCGTGAAGACAACACCTAAATGGCCAAATTCTGCAGTTCCTACAGTGGCCACTTGAGGCTGCCTCCAAAAGCGAGTCAATCCTTATAGAGGCCTGTATTCAAACCCTCAACTTCAAAAGCAGAATTGAAAATACTTACAGCCTGATTCAAGAAAGTTTTAGGTTCCTCCAGCCAGTTTCTTAATTCACTTGCTTCTGCACGGTACAGTTTATACATGAGCACAAGCACGAGTACACAACGTGGACAGCCTTTATTATCGAGAAATCTCGGCGCGTGAGTTCAAAAACGACTCAAAATAAGCCACAAAGTCAGTAAAGGATCTGTCGTCCTTGTGTTGTTCTTTGATGTGCAGACACGGACTCAACCGTCCTCCTGTCTTATAAACTAAGCAGACTTCAAAACAACGTAAAGCCATGCATGTGTTGTATTAAGACGGTATGTCCAAGAGGTAACCGTGCTGAGGCCCGGTTAGTCCTGGAGCAGTGTGAGTGCAGGCCAGTGGGGGAAACTGAGCCTAGTGTGAGTGCGCCCTTAGCTTAGTTTTATAAATAAACAACTCCATCAGCCACCAACTGAAATGGAAAATAAGTTGCTTAACTAGCTCATTCAACAGCTAACAACTTAGCAACCAGCACAGGCTGTTCAACTCTGAGTTTGCCAACCCCTCGCTCCTCTCCGGATCCGATCGCTCGTCCAGTTATCTTCACTTCTGGCTCCAAAATCCAAACACGTCAAAAGCCAACATGTTGAACTCAAGGCTTCAAAAATGTGACTAGCAATCCAGCTTGGATTGCCATTATTTACAGTCTACATGGCCAACACTCACCTTCTATCTCAAGGGTGATTGGCTGAGACTCCACCAGTCTGTTGTTGATGCTCAGTCTGCAGCGATACTCTCCAGCATCCACCCGCTGCACATGGTTGATGCTGTAATAGAGAACATCAATACACTCCTTATCCTGCTTAATCAGTCTGTCAAACAATGTTTCACCTCTGTGGATTACATACTTGACCGTGGAGAGGAGAGTCGTGACCCCGTCTGTGATGGTCTGCAGCTCGTTGACCACCACCTGCATGTTTGCAGCCAGGTCCAGACCGTTCTTCACCCACACGATGGTGGGCTCCAGCCTGGCGTCCGGGATGTCGATGGAGCAGTTGAATTTGGCCTCATGGCCCTCGGAGAGCTGGATGGTGCCCACGGTGGGCTTGAAGTGCAGCCGCCTGAGCTGATCCGGACTCAGGTAAACCCGTGAAATGTGGGCAGGTATCACAAGAGGCTCAGAGGTCCTGACGGATCGGTGGATCTGGCCTGCGGAGAGCTGAGCTGTTTACAGAAGCAGATTTAAGGTTTTAATAAACACACAGAGGCAACACAAGCGGCTGCTGAATGAAAAATACACAAAAGAATGTTTTGAAATCACTCTGAATGCTTTAAAATACAACTATGCATCTTTTAATTTAGCTCTGAGATAACAAACATTAAAGATTTGACACCAAAGCGGAGAGAAAAAGACGCAAACGGAAACTGAAAACAGGACAAAACCACCGTGAAGCTTCGATCAAACATCAAAACTATCTGATACTTAATGTCTTGAATCTATTTATACGTCTACAATTAAGAAAATCCTTCAGATGATTATCAAATCTAGCAAAACAAAACTTCAGACAAACAGCTTAAAATCTGAATATAAATCTAAATTGCAGCGAGTTCTGGATTTTGTGGAAGCAGAGAAAACTTTGTACCAGGCAGGAAAAACTGCTTAATAGATCAACAGGATGAGACGATGACACTCTCTGCATTTGATTGGAATAACTTAATTTTTTTAGACAGTATTGTGCAGAAGTAAAATATATTACAATGTCACTTTTTCCCCAAAAACCTTCAGCTGTAATATGATACCAAACATCGACACATCGTCCCTTTAGGTAAATTGACAAGCGATTAATCAGCTGTTTGTTTCATCCTGTTTTCTGTCTGATTTCACTAAATAGCCTAAATGGAGAAATATCTCCCTAATGAGATAATGTCATAGACTCCAGACTTCAGTTACATTTTTTTCCTACAAAAACATGATGATTAAATTATATTCTGACTCTGTGTAAGCAGATATAACTTTGTAAAAGGCAAGAAAACCTGCCGGATTGATCAATACAATGATACCATATGAAACAATACAACATGATTTGACCTGATTACAATACGGTACGATAAACGTCATTATCCATGTAGTAAAGTTTGACAAAATTGGTTATCACAGTAGTTTGGGATTTCATTTTTCAAGTGGGTAAATACAGAAAAATATCCCTTTAAAAAGATTTTAATTTTTTTAAATTCTGCACTATAACTCACGCTTTTTACAGTTTATTTTTATTTTATTTAAATTAGTAGTATTAATTTATTTTAACATATTTTTTTGTTATTTTTTTAATTGTCTACCTGTGTTTCTTTTCTTTCCTCTGTCATGATGCTTTTGATGTCTTGTGTGAAGCACTTTGAATCGCCTTGTTGTTGAAATGTGCGATATAAGTAAACTTGTCTTGATAACAGAGAAAAGTGAGATAAGGTCACAAAAGAAAACTTTGAGCAGCTTACAGCTTCAGTCAATGGATCTATTAAACAGATGAGTAGTTTAAAGTGTTTTTACTGTCACCATTCCTCTGCGAAACCGAGGAAACCACATTTCATGAGCTGCAGTAGGAAACACGTTTAGTGCTGTGAGACATTCTCAGCATGCCTTTAAGAGACCTCTTTACAGAAAAGTCTTTTTAAAGGGCATCTGAATGATTGGTTTGTTTAATGCAGAGAAGATCACTGCTGCCTGTTGAACAGATCGAGATCCACTTTGAGGGACATGACAAAGTGCAGGAAAACACAAACTCTGCAGAGGATAAACAACAACTCACCGCCAACAGGGGGCCCCCACGATAATAATCGCTAACGTCGTAGTAGAGAGAAAAACTCCAAACCAGCGTGGATTTAACTTCTTTTCCATGACCAGGGTCTGAGCTGCTCCCTGTCCCGCAACAGCCTGAAGAAAGGAAAAAAAAAGGAAAAACCCCCACCGTCCACGTTTTTGTTTCTAAGCGGATTGTGCGGGATCCACAGTGACCCACATCACCCTCTACAGTGGCTTTAACGTGGACTGTGTGGAGAGTTGATGACCCGGGATCAGATTCAGCTGGAGACCAGAAAAAAAGTTTACTTTTCCCCACGTCACAGGAGGGATCCCATGAAGGCGGGACTGACAGGACACGCACCGAACAATAATCAAAACACTGCATGAAGAAATAAATCAGATAAATAAACGGAGCTGAAGATACTGAAGAAACATTTACACGAATTTATGGAGCCGATTTTTTTATTTTTTTATTTTTTTATTTCACTCTTGTTCATCTTTTTTTTTTTCCCAGACATTAACATAATCTTCTTTTTTAACATCGTGCATGTCGCCTTACAACACACATACAATGTGCTCTATTTTATTTTTAATACCTTAATGTCAACAATTTGTAAACAAAAAAAAAAAAACAGGCACTGTAGGTTAGCTGTCTTCCCAACTACGCCACCGTGTGGTCACCTACAAAAACTAAGATTTCCAGATTAACCCTCAAACTGTAAATACGATTATTTAAACAACATTTATCCACATTTAGAATAAAACATTTTATTTCATTACAGGTTTTGGATTTAGTTGACAGAGTTTGGGTCTGTTTCCATAGCAACGACTGACTTAAGGATGAAGTTATGAAGCTAAATCTCATCAAGTTTAAGTTCACCCAAATTTGTTGGCAGTATGAGCACTGATTTTTGTACTTTGCTTCCCATTTTCTTACCCTATTTTAGGGTCTGAGCAGCGACCTCGGAGCAAGGAGCCTATTGGAAATTAGTAAAAAAAAAAATATATATATATATATATATATATATATATATATAGATAGATAGAAGGAAGTGCTTATTTGGGGGCTTTAACATGCCCCAAATCACACATTTTTGCATCATCAGGCCTAGTGAAAATGTTGTTTTGTTTTGTTTTTTGGGGGGGGGGGGGTCTTGACTGTTTGCCTGATGAAGGCCTAGTACCAAAATATATGACACATACAGTATATGTTTGCTTACGAGTTAGATGATGTACTGGATTTTTTCTTGAACTTTTTGGGGTCTTGAAAAGGAGATTTGCAAAATGGCTCCATAGCGCCCCCTTGAACTTTTCAAAAATTCAAGAAGTCAGTAGGCATTGAGTATCATGCCAAAACCTACAGAAAAGTCTCTAATGATCAAATTGAAAACTCAACAGGAAGTTTGCCATTTTTAGTAGATTTTCATTTTTTAGCGATCTCCACGGTCCTTATTTGAAAGAACTTGCTCTGTAATGTGGCAAAACATTTTAGTCTATCTTTCTTTGCAGAAAAAAACAATCCTTTCCCATTTCCAGTCAGTGTGTCTCCTGTGAAAAAAAAAGGATTATTCAGTGCTTTAAAATTCTGTCAGGCTTGATTTGGAAAGGTCCCACAATGTAAAAGTACAGTCAACAGATCTCATTTAACTTAAATGACTTCACTATATTATAAAACTTTACAATAAAAGAATATGAGAATCTCTTGAAGTGAAGTAAATTGTCATAACAAAGTCCTGATACAATTGAATAATTTCCTTTAAATCCCTCATGAGTTGTTTTTCCTGATGTTCTCTTGTCAGATTTTCCAGTTTAAGAAAGTTCTGCATGTTGTTTTGTTCTCAGGTGATTTCTCCCTCCTCCTCTATGTGTCGACTCTGCTGCGACCTTGAGCTTTTCCGATTAGCTCTCGAGTCGTTGTTGTTGGCCTTGTTTTTACAGCAGCCCACGGCGCCCATGAGCCGGTACGCGTCTTTCCTGAAAGCCTTGGTGAAGATTGCGTACAGGAAGGGGTTGGCGCAGGAATTGATGGGAAAGAAGAGGACAAGCAGGATCTTTGAGTTTGTGACCGTGATGAGGGGGACCTTGAACGCGGCGGAGATGGCGAAGAAGGAGATGGGCGCCATGTAGAGGAAATGGGTGAAGATGAGCACGGCCATGCGCTTTGCCATCTTGGTGTCAGCGCTTCTTCTTCTGGGGAACTCCGGGTTCTTCACCGCCAGATAGATGAGCACGTAACACGCACACACGACGACGGCGGCGCCCACATTGAAGAGCAGGACGAGGATGATGAAGGCCTGAGCCGGAGGAGTCTCCATGTCCATGGGTAACTTTGGAGTAGCTGCTTACGCCGATCAGAGGGAGGACGCCCATCCTAAGGCAAACCAGCCAGCCGACCGCCATGATGCTCGCCGCCTGCGCGAGCACAAGATGGCGCTCCACTTGCAGAGCGTGTAGACCGACAGCTCCCCTCCGAACACCGACAGGAAGCCCCCGGTGCCGCACCTGGGCTCCGTCTGCCAATCGATGGCGTGCTGGCTATCATCAGCAGGTAGATCCCGGTGCAGAGGTCGGTAAAGGCCAGGTGGCACATGAGGAAGCGGGGCACGGCTGCAGAGGGAGACCAGCAGCACGGTCAGGTCTCCCGCGATGGCCAGTGTGTTCAGAGGCCAACCCTGATCATACCTGTGTAATTTGAGGCGAGATTTCTGTCTCTCACACCCCTGAGACCGGGGGCCCCCCTCTTTCCCTCTTTCCCTCTTTCAAAAGCAGAAACAGAGCAAAATACAAAAGCAAATATTTATGATTTTATTGCATATTTTCTACATACATAAAAAACACTAATGCAATCAAATCAACTTTGCTAGTCTTTCACATATCCTCTAATCACTATTCAACTAATAACCTAGCATTTAAAGGGTTACAATCCTGAAAATTTGGTAGTTTGAGGAGGGCACAAGGGTTAATGTTCCAGCAGTGGTGTTGTCTTACCTTGACATACTGTAGAAGTGATGCAGGATACTGCTCTCCACTGTGACAGCGAGCGGCTCTTTGTCCAGCATGAAGAACGCCACACTCTGTACACTTCCCTGTCAAAGTAAGTTCAATTAGAATGATTAGACAAAACCACCTTAAAATGCAGTCTGTAAAACATCAGTGATAAACATATAAGACGGAAGAGGCAGATATATTCCAATACAGTTTAATTCCTGATATACCACCACAAAGCATTATCTCTGTCTTAAAATAAAACTTGTGAACTAGAAGTGGTACTAGTATGGATGGAGAATATATCAACGTCCTAATTCATGCCAATATGACTTATCGCATCCCCACAGTGGTGCTTATGACATTAGCTTATGTATTTACATAGCCTACATGTGTATCCCATTTTGTGTTCTTTTTGAATCCAAAAGCATTGTTCAATGTAACCCTAAAGAAAAGTAAAAAGATCACTCTGGAAGCTGTCTCACTAATGATGATTGTAAAACCATTTTTTTTAATACAGTGCGATTTGAAATAAAGTAGAAATAAATGTGAATCAGAAAATATCTTTCTTCCCAGAATAACACATCAATAAAAATTTGATTACAGTGTACAATAAGGCCAAGACAGACAGATATACAGGCGGACAGTCAGACACTTACCTCTAAATCCAGCTCAAATGTGATGACAAACTTTTCAGCCTCTTCAAACATGTGTTTCTGAACAAGTCTGCTAAGTCTGGGAATCAAAGAGAAGTCAACTAAGTCAAAATAATAATACAAATATTTAGCAAAATGGAAGAAACATAGAAATGCATCCAAATAAAGTTAAGTACCTGTTCTCAGACAAAGCCTCTGTGAAGCATCAGACGACAACAGAAGAAACAGGCTCTCTTCAATATATTGTTGAGAAACTAAAAGAAAACAAAAAAATCTCAGGATATTTCCAGGAGCTGAATGTGTGAACGAAGAGCCAAGTTTGTTGTTTGATAACACAATACTGTGAGTTACTGTCCAAAAACGTGAGCCCATTAATGTGTCACTTTTTGTTTCTAAATGTTAAGAAGATGATAATAGATGTTCAGGAATTCAAAGGGCATTTAAAGTGTTTAGCTACGTATATACTGTTCTCGGAAACAAGAGCGTACCTGGAATTAAGTCATCGCTGACAGTGAGTGGGCAGACCTGAGGAGGGTCCATCATCCAGTGAGTCACAACATCTTCTTTATCACCCTGTGAAGAGAATAGTGTTATAAAAATCTACACCAAGACATACAGCATGGTTTTCTAATCTCTCCAACATTTCCAAGAAAGATTTTACTTCAATTATGATGAATTGATTTAAATGTAAGCTTTTAAGGAAGAACGTGGGACTTTTTGATCCAGTAGATGTCGCCCCTTTGAGCACCAGCTTTAAACCAAAACAAACTGCTGTTTAGCCACACCTCCACTATTCTGAAGCCTCCGCTCTCCTCTTTCGTTCACACGAAGGACTTATCAATTAGAACGCACCACAACTAAGCACCATTTAAACCAAGTGGCAGACAAAATTTTCCTTTGCTGGAGCTGCAATAACCTGTGGCCTGCATTTTTGTTAGCAGGCTAATGTTAGCACACTCTGTTAGCTCGTCGCTTCATATTTAACATAAATTGACACAGAATTACCTTGAACTAAACACACTTACGTGACATCCAAATAATCAGTGAGTATGTTATTCTTCTTTTCTCTAGTCCTCGACTAAAACAGCTTTTATACACAAGGTCCATTTAAACACTGCTCAGACAACAGTACAGCTGGGGCTTCTCACTCATTGTAGACAGTCATGACTCAGAGGATAGACTTGATTTCTGCTGTATTTTTGTGTAAAATGTTGCACAGTCTTCCTTCATCTAAAACTTGTTTATAAACTTTCAGTTGGCATACAACGAAACATTAATGTGTTGATTTGAGGAATATGTATACAGGGTATAATATGTTTACCAGAGACAAACATTGTAAGAAGATATCCTTTATTAATACAAGGAGAAATTGCTTTTTCACACCATTGAGACATGCTACACCCACAGGCTGAAAGACACACTACATGAATTAATGAAGAGATGTCAGATTGAGGGCCTGTACATGGAAGAGTGGCTGAGCAGCTGGGGTGTCGGAACCTCTCCAGCTACCAAACAAACTTCCTTACTAGATCCACACTGCTTTTGGAACCAGCGACCCTATAGTCTGAGCTACTCTCACCCAAACATTAGTTAATGAAGAAGCAATACAGAAGATGTTTGATTTTTATTTTACAAGCACCGTAACTCACTTTTAGCTAATGTGTCATAATTACATGCGGTTAAAGACACTGACGCCGATCACCAAGTGGATTTCATGGCCCAGACCGAACAACAACACTGTACTGCAGGCCTCGTGGTATCCCTGGACGAGCAGAAGTATAACTTTATTTGAAACTGGAGCTGAGTGTGTGGAGAGGTTGGATTAAAATTCTGCTTAGCAATTACAGAAAAGGTTCTCAACTAACCTCTTTCCAAGAGCCTCTATCCATTTTTTTTTTTCCTATGGCTGCAATGAGGAATTAATCTTGTCAACAGTGAGGTTGCGACAAAAATCAAACGTCTCTTTGAGACCTGTCTCGACCTTGGCAAATGCAAGGATTAAAATGTGGAAAAGCCTTTCTTATGAGTCGAAACACATTGTGTATTTCTGTTGACCAAAAATACGACATATTATGTAAAAACCATGCAGTTTAACGATTTAGAGAATAATCCTGAGACACAGACAGATGAGATTCTTAATTCCCCCCGTGTCACATTGCATAGCGTTCTCAGAATGAAAAAAAATTCACTTTCACAACCCTCGTATTTCTGTGTGAGAAGATAGTGATACGTTTCCTCGTCACCACTGGATGGCTTCTCTACCAAAACCTAAAAAAGAAGAACCCACATCTGAATGTAGGTAATGAAATCCATGGAATTATTACAACTGGTGACATTATCAAAGCCATAGGTGAAATCAGACAAACATTTGATGGACAGCCACAGGCCTTCACTTGTAGTGTGCCTTATAAACACTCTTACCCTGGTGAGAAGGATTCTCTTGTGGGGGGGGACTGTTAGGGACCGAGCAGTAACGCATGAGACACAGGAGTAAGTTTTAAGTAAAGGTAGGTTTTTATGTCACCCATAAATAGAAAACCAAGTCTACAAACCAAACGTGCCTTGTGATCCGTCGCCAAGGTGAACTCTGGACCAAGAAGGTAGTATCGGAAGGAATCAAGGGCCCACTTGATAGCTAGTGCCTCCTTCTCCTCAGTCAAATACCAAACCTCTCTGGGGAACAGTTTCCATCTGATGTAGGCGACTGGATGCCGATCATCCTGAGGAGAAGAAAATGTTTGTCAAAGTTTGGGCTGTATAGAACAGGTTGCTTACCTTGTGATTGTTGGATATCACTGAAAGCTGCCACTGCCTCCTCTGTCCACTGGATCTGATTGGGACTCCAGGATCTAGTCAAGTCTTTGTGTAGAGCTGCCCTGTTGTTATGAAACAGTGATAGAAGCCAGATAGCACAAAAAGGATCGGAGCTGCTTCCTTGTTTGTGGCAGGGCACAGGACTCTATGGCCTGGGTTTTGTTGACCTGAGGGTGTACAACCCCATTGCTGATGATGTAATGATGGCCCAGGTACTCAGTCTCTGCAGCAGCAACGATGCACTTCGATGGGTTGACTGTCAGCCCTGCAGAATGAAAGCAATCCAACACAGGTGTTCCTGTAAATACTGATGTCATCCAGATATGCTTCAGCAAAACCAGATAAATAAGTACCTGGTCCATGAGTCTCCAGAAAGTTGCTGGGGCACCGTTCAACCCAAATGGCATTACTGTGAACTGGAAAGAGCCCCCAAGGTGTCCCAAATGCTTTTAAGAAGTTCATCAATTCTTGGTGTTGGATAGGACTCAAAAACATTTTTAATTCAAGTACCTGAAATCAATGCAGAACCTTATGCTTCCATCCTTTGGTACGAGCATCATTGGGTTACACTATTGGATGATCCCCAGGGACAGCATCAGGTCAACCTCCTCCCTCAGTGAGGCCAGCAGGCACTCATGGATCCTATAACTTAATCTTCTGACAGAAGCATCTTCTCTAACAACAATGTCATGTTCAACAATATTTGTTTTCCCAGGATTCTCCTGGAAAACATCCGAAATACAGATAGCTCTCACCTGAATCCTTTGGTCATGTGACTCTGGCTATCACAGGGACATTGTAGGTTTCCATTTCTTTCTCAGACCAGCAGAAACTGTCCATCCAGGCAAACGTCAATGGTGTCCACATCAGTTTCTGAAATGCAAATTATGTGACACCTCAGCCATTGTTAACAGAATCAGTTAAATTAATTATTTTCTATAGGTATACAGAGGATGAGAGATTGCGATACCTGGTTAAATTGTCTGCTTTGTGTATTTATTTTCTCTGGAAGATAGCCGTTGCTGTCCGTCTTTTCAATCTTAGACCTGGCGCTTTGCATTGTGGGAAACAGTCAGTGAAAAGTCTGGTCTGATACGTCTGATTTTTTGGCCAGAGAAATCAGTACATACTGAAGTATAGTAGATGTTTCAAAAACAGTCTGAGAATTTGTTGAGCCTTCCCTGATACAGGACCCTGACAGATAGCAAACAGAGAGTCAGAGACAGGAATAACTTACTGAGATGACCAGAAGCAGCAGGATGGTTTGAGAACTCTGATGAAAACAGGATAACCATTTTATCAGCAACAACAATACTCCAGTTTGAACCACTGGAGGAGGAGAGACTGGGATCTGCCTGTATCTGAAAAAAATAATAAAAACAGTAGTTCCACACTTACAAATTGGCACAGTAGTGTCCACATTAATTGGTTGGACTTTGTCAGAAAAAGTCTGAGTCCCTGCAGAACAAAGCTTTGAATTTTCCACGTCGCTAGATGGAAAGAAATGTCAATCTCAATGTTTGTAAAGTAGTTAGCACAACTGTCTAGGAAGGTTGTAGAAAGGCAACTCAGCAGATGAAGATTTTCCAAGAGGTGAGTATTTACTTACAGTGATTAAACCAACACGTGTTAACAACAACAAAAGTTTAATGTAAATAAGGCAACTTACTTCATGATTAAATCAGACTACAAAACATGTTAAAGGCAGCACGTCCTCACCTCTCCTCATGCAAGAGAACACATCTCCTGGCTTTATAGATGGCCCCATTAACCAAATGGCTGCAGCTGGGTGCAGCACAACTCAAGTAGTGGGTTTACCCATTTCTCTTAAAGCAAATAAATCTACATAAACCCTTAAATTAACCTCAGATCATTTACTCAACTCAATTAACTGTAAATAATTAAATTACATTCTACCAGTAACTCAAACATGAAAGAAATTATTAGAAAGAAAACATTTCTCAGAAATAAAACCCCTTCAAAATGGTCTGCCCCAGTGATGTCAGCAATGACATCATCAATCTGATAAATACCCAGACAGTGCTGGGCTATCCCCTTTTAGCTGCATGGAACCACATGGGGGAACAAACAGAGTAAGTATGGATAAGACAATCAAAGATATTTTGCAGTTCCAGAAACTAAATAAAAATGACTGAACTAAGTCGAGACTGTGTGTTTGCTTTAAGTTGATTTATGCTTTGATGTGCACTGAAACTTATTGCTAACACAAACAAACCCGGGATAGTAGTAAGTGCTGTAATGTTACACAAGCAAAATTAAATTAAAGCTAAATACACAACTGTAATCAATGATGTGATTTGATATTAAATAAAGACTTAAGTGACAAGTGGTGATTAAGAGAAGAGCTTCTCACCCACTTTGTCACAATGTTATGTCAAGTTTTCTATGCGCTGATTCAGCTGTTAACTCCCCTAAGTGTTACCACAGGGCTAGGGTTGCAGGAAGAGAGAAACCCTGAGGTCTTACTGGGCGCTGCCATATTTTGTGTCTGTGCTCAGTTCACACACAGAGTGAAGGATTATGGGGGATCTGTCGGCTAAAAATGTTGTTTCTCAGAGTATTACAAACAATTTACATCTATATCTATGTTTTCTGTCTTTTGTAAATCTACAGACACTGAGGACAGCATAACAAAGGAACGTCAGCATCCTCCTGGCGATAGAAGATGAGGTCGTCCTGGAGCATCAGATCAAGCAGCATGGCATGAAGCACTATTGGTAGCATATGGTAGCTATGCTCATGGGTCTGCTGTATGCAATTAACATTGCCTACCAAAAGAAAGTGCAGTATACATTTAAAGTCATACAGAAGAACCTATTGAATATCGGTGGTGACCACTGCCCCCTTCAAGGGTCCATGGACTGAGAAAAAGACTTCTTTGTAAAGCTGTGAGGTTGGGAGTTTTCTGAAAGCTTCCAAGAAATATTTGGAAATTGTCTCACAGATCTTTTCTGAAATGTTTAGGTGAGTTATTTGATCTGATCTGCTGTCAAAGGTTGAAGAACTAAAGTTGGTTGGTTTCGATGATAAACCTGTAGAGAGTACAGGAGAGAGATTTTTTTTTTTTGTATTTGAAAGGAAGCTGAAAGTTTCCACAAAAGTGAATCACTAAAAAATGTATACGCTGAACTGATTTAAGTTGACTAAAATATAAATATATAGATTAAATTTAAATTATAATTAAATTGATAAATTAATTTAACTCAATATTTTAGATGGATTCAACTTTTGATAAAGTATTTTAACTTTGGATTTGAAGTCAAAAGAAATTGAAAGAGCATTTTGCCTCAACTAGATAACGAGATAATCTCACAGGAACTGAGTTGTGATCAAAAGTTTTGTGAACTTAAAGATTTAAGTACAACTGACTTGATGTCAAGTTTATTTGACTATAGAACATTTTATTTCTTTGGAATAATCACAAATTTATCTCTACTTATCTTTTTTAAGTTCAGGTAACTTAACATTTTAAGGCAACCTGGACACTAACTTTTTTTTAAGTCATAACTAGTTTTTTTTTTTTTTTTTTTTTACAGTGCTGTTTTATCTTTCCCAGTCCTTGTGATCAAAATCTGTAGATCACCTTCATCCTGCTGTGAACTTCTCATGCTGCAGAAAATGAAATGTTCTACATTTCAACTGATAGATGCACTCCAACATCTGTCCTTTGTATTTTTGGTGTCCTTGTGTCAGCTCAAGAAAAGGAGAGTTTTTTTACTCACTGCATTTGTTAACTGTGCTTCAGGTCGTTGGAATGGCCCTTTGTTAAGGATGGACTGCAGATTGTATTTAGAAGTGTTTCTGCTGTGGAGAACAGCAAAAGTCAAACTTGCCTTTTATACATGTTTGATAATTCTTTTGTCAGTATCTGTGTAAAGCTAAGTGATTCACAACACAGAGCACATCACACAATGAACTGATCTAGTTCCATCCCTCAGAAATGATCACAGAAGCAGAAGAGGTGAACACAGGACCATGAATACACTAATCTAATTAATATCCTCCTGTTCCTGCCACTGATTTTAACGACTTGTTAAAACCTTCTGCTGCGTTTATGGCTATTAGAAGGCCACGTGTGAGCTATCTTCTTCTTCACTGTGTTTCCCCTCCACTAGCAGTTGGCCACCCTAAAAATGAAGAGCCTCCAGGGAGGATAGGGTTCAACTGACTCGGAGGCCAATTACACCTGGATCATTGCAACAAATGCTTTTTTTAAAACCCAAACAAAAGAGGTTTGACAGTTGTGATAATGGTCTTGTTTTGTTGGTGTTTTCACTTTTAAAATTAACCTGCCTCCCCTCAAAGCCTTTTTACTGCCCTCCTCCAATCTACAAACTCCCAGAGAGAGAGAGAGAGAGAGAGAGAGAGACAGACAGACAGACAGACCTAAGAATACATGGTCGCTCAGCCAGTATTTATGCTCTCTCCCCTCTCTCTCTCTCTCTCTCTCTCTCCCCACATGCCTTGCCATACCGCTCCCTCTGCCTCTCCATCTCCATCTTGCAAAGGAGGCCAGTGTGCCGATGCCAAACGCAGCTACAGGAACATTTCTCTCTCTCTCTCTCTCTCTCTCTCTTGTCTCATTTCATCCAAAACTGCTGCTCTGGCTTGATCACTGGAGTCATTGAGAACTGTTTTGTGGCTCCACTCTATTGTCTAGAAGAAACATGTTTGGTTTAAGAGGCTGTAAAGTAGTTTTGTACTGATCTGGGGAAGAAGGAGGATAAACAAGCAGATTGCAAGAAACCTGATCAGTGTTAATGTTGATGGTTTAGGCTTTTCGTCTTTCACCGATGCCGTCTACTTGACATCCAAAAACACTATGATACTGATTAGACAACTGAAAGAGAAGAGAGGAGGAAGACGGACCAAAAAAGCACATAGTTTTCCATTCCATTTCTATCGCCTCATGAAAACAATTTTCACAATTTACATATGTGTTTAGACATCTTGCACAAAACACTTTCATAATAAGCCTGGGGTTGATTGATCTGAATAGGCAGGGTCTGAACCAGAAGCTGTTGATCATTTGAATGAACTTCCAAACTCCATGTGATCTGCAGAGTCCCTCTGCACCTTTAAGAAAAAGCTAAAGACCCAGCTCTTTCATGAATACCTACTAACTTAATGATGATGGTCTCCATATTATTGATGATGATGATGGTTGTGACGATGGTTTTTGTTTGATAACGACGACTTATAAGATGGTTTCTATACTGATTAGAGCTCTCAAGAACTGCCCTCAATGTTGTGCTTTGCCTCTGGTCACTTCCTGTCAGCACCTGTGTGTCCAAGTCCTCGCATGGTTCGTGCTTGGGCCCTAATAATCATTAGCATTCCAATAGGGTCCTACGCACCTGGCAGTGCTTCTGGCCCTAAATATCATATTTCTCTGGCTTTGATAACTGAATGAAAGTACTCAACAACAAAAAAAAGTATAAAATGGGTTTTGTCCTTTTTTAAATTAGATTAGATATTTTAATGTAAAAATTGTAACAAAATTCTACATATTGTACATTTAAAGCTACAAAATAATTGTAGTAATTAGGATTTGAGAAATTTGGCATAATTAATCTGATGTTTCAGACCGATGGAGACATAATATCCCTCATGCATTTGATTATACGTAAATGTTTGAAAATGTAGAAAATAGCCACATTCTTTACATTAATTCTCCTAGAAGGTAACCTTTGACCCCACTCTAACTTAGCCCCCAACCCCCATCATTTTGGGTTGCATGACGCCCCTGGTACTCTCAGTAACAGTGCCGGGGTAAAACCACTAGAGGGCGACAAAGCTGCAGAAAAGCAACAGCAGTGAGCATGAAGCATTTGAAAACAGATCATGTAATATATGATGTGTAACAATTTTATCACGAGTTTAATTCTTATTTACGACAACAGAGCTGAACATACTGTGAATCTGATTCAGGATTTATTTAAAAACGACGGCTTTTTAAATTACTTTCAAGGTTTTTATTTGGTTTATTGATGATTTGTCAACAGCTTTGCCTTTAAATTCTTTTTATCCATCTTTTTTCTCTTTTTTCTATAATAGACAGACAGACAGACAGACAGACAATTTAGGATGCATCTGAGATTAAAGGGACCAGTGACCAGCAACATCAATGAGTAATAACGTAAGTGGTATGGTCATGTGTCCTTGTTGAACAGACAGGTCGTGTGCACCTGCCATGACCATCAGATCATGAATGTGGTAAACAAGATCGTATAGTCAATGTTGTCTTGTGAAAGCCTTGATTAGGCTAATTATTGTAAGTTGAGGGTGCATTGCAACCTTTTGCAGCCTCGTATAACCGGGCCTTGAGTGTGATGTTCTTGAGTGTGATGTTCTTGAGTGTGATTTCGAGTGTGATGTTCTTGAGTGTGTTTTTTACAGATGTGGTTGTTTTTCACGTGAATTTGCTTGTTGAGCAAATGTTTTTAACACTTTTTGAAGGCATGGTTGAAGGGGAAAAAAAGGCGCCTCTCAAATACGTCTTTGAGACAGGTCTGTTTTTTGATTGGCTTAGCTTCCTGTAGGCTGTCCAAGTTGTTTCGCTTGCAGGCTTTGTCGGTGTCGACGTGAGGAGGTCGATGCTGTTGGTGTGCGACACATGTACGAGGATGTCAGGCAAGAAAAGAAAGGTGGAAGAAGACATGAAAAAAAGAAGACAGATGATGGAAAACCTGAAAGAAA